GCGCCGTCGTACTCGTTGCCTGCTGGCACGGACTTCCTGGCATCAGTCAAGACTAACCATCTCGGCGATGTCCAACGGTCATTTGGTCGTATCGGATAAGTTGGAGAGAGAGCACTGAAGGCCGCTAGCGTAGCTTTCCTTACATTCTTCATGCTTTATCTATCTGCTTACTACCAGCACAGTGCTAGTTTACTGTAGAAGGTTGGTGAGCTAGCTCAGGTCAACAAGCATCGATTCCGATTCGACAACCCAGATGTCATTCCAAGGAGAACGAACCGGACACTCATAGCACACGGACGGGTCAATGTATCAGTGCTTTATGCTTGACGAATGAGCCCGGATAACTCTCAATAAAAGGTATCCTTCTCGACGTCAGTCCTTTGGGATACATGCCTATACCAAGGGCAGGCGCTATTTTTTCATGTCGTGTAGCGTTCAGCTCGATTGAGCTGCATAATCGGACGGCGCAGACGACTGCACAGTGGGATCCAATGCAGCAAAGCGCATTCAACTCTGCGGGTGATACAACTCCCACCCCATGTAGTCCACGAGTAATTGCTTCTAGATCATCGGAAACAAAAGAACATGAGAGAGCTGAGTTCCTCCTTCGTTTTTGGATGCATAACCCCACGTTTCGAAGACACAGCATACATCAAATTTAAGGGAGTATAATTCTCAGCGACCATTGCCTGCTCGCCAATTTGACATAGAGTACGGACTCCGAAAGCTCCTAATTAGAAACGATCCCATGGATTTAGCAAGGTGTTGTTTTGTTTGTTGTTAACAGGAAGCTGGCTGCATAAGGTCCATCTGTCAGATAATTGACCGTAACCTTTGCCTGTGCGGTGGAAAGTGGTTGAGTAGGGGCATCGGTGGACAAGTGCGGGCAGATGATAATAACCATACTGGAAAACACTTTTCTCATCCCGCCAAGTGGATGCGTGAAATAACCTCCTTACAAAAGTTGCCCAAGCTGCATCTTGAGATTTCTTTTCACTTGAGTCCTCGATCTGGCAAGCATAACACCCAGTGATCACTATTATACCGTTGTTTTTTTCGTTTTTAGCATTTCAGACAAACCAAAGCCGCTGAACGACAACAAACCCGGTCCGGAAAGTTCGTGCTTGCCTGTTGGCTTGCACCTCTATCTGTCTAAATCGTACAACTGATATTAAGGTGGTCCATAGGTTGTTCCGAATTGAACAAATAGGAGAACAAATAAAGCGGCAGGCTTCGAACTGTACGACGGCATCGGTTGGGCGATCATGTTGCCAGCCGGTTGTGGACCGACATGGACCCTCTTCTGATTAGTCAGGTTGTAGGCCATTCATAACGGAGCACTTTCGCTGCATCCTCACTATCTCATCATGAAACCTCTAGCCTGGTCTGGTGCTTGTCTTCTGCTATCAATCCATAAATACGGCCTTGGAAATCCTCTTTTGTCACCATAAAAGGTTGTCCGGATCAATCTTGCCTCCTGATGCACAATGTATGACGTAGAAGATACACGCCCAAAAAACGGGGGCTCTGCAACCTTTCAAAGCTTTTGGGTTCAATGGGTTCAGTAGATGTGTACAATGCAGGAGCCGAGGACTCGAAAACTTGGATTTTCTGGTGTCGTATCTGATAAGATTCGTGCAGCTTAGCTGAAATAAAGCAGCTCTGGCGCACCACCTAATGTGCCAAATCTAAGGATTGATTCACTGATTGGTAAACCGGCGCGACACCATTGTTGCAGCTTCCTGAGTTGAAGAAACCAGTGGTTGTCAAAAGCCAGGTTGTCTCACTTCGGATGAAGAGCCAGTAAAGAAAGGTATGCGTATTGCATCAAAAGTCTACTGCGCTGAAAAAACCAGGTCCACCGGAATAGTCAGGGATCAACGGATTCAAAACCAAGATCGAGGCTCCCACCAAAGCTTTGCTAGTAGCGTCTGTTCAATAACACTGAATGAACTTATCACTCGAATTCAAGAAAAGGAAGTGGAATGAACAGGATTCCACAATGTTGAGTGGCAAGTAATAGCGAATTGTGGTATTTAAGTTCGTTGAATCAGTTAAAAAGTTTGTAGAGAAATCGTTCAGCTACCATGCCACCAGGAGGCATGAGGGCTAGGATACTGCCAGGTTGCCCAAGCTTAGACAGGGGAAGTCGAGAGGCGGAGTTCGCATTTGAAACACCGACCTTCCGGTCAGTAAATTTGCGCCCTAACCACCAAGCCATCTCATTTGTAGAAATGAGTTATTCACTCATGAAACGGGATTTGAAAACATTCAGAGCACTTACAACACACTGCCGGAAAAGTACTCGACAGATAATGCTGTACTTCATGGTACGCTGGTGAAGACAACTGAAGGGCGGCTGAGTGAGTGGATGACCAAGGAAGAAGTGTGAGAAACTACTGCGCTGAGTCAGTTATGGATAGGTCGCGCCACGTGTTGTTTGGGAGCTTATTCCAGAGAACAACTGTTGCAGAGGGAAAATCTTTCCTAGGTGGGCTGACATACCCTTAATGCGAAAGACCTCACGGCTTGATACACCAGATCGGGGCTTCCGCTCACACTTACCGGGTCGGGTCTGCTCTTGTTCAGCGGCGAAAGACTTGAGGCCAGCTGCCATTACCTTGCAGCTCGTGGGACACTCTCAACAAGGGTTACGTCCATATTACATCCTCGTTCGACAAACTGCTTGGCATAATTAAGCGCGTATCTCGAGGGCCCTGTAAGCAGTACGAGGTGAGGTGATCCGACCGTCAGAAGAACGACACGGGACTTTTGGGCTGATTTTTTTTACCTTGGAATGGGACGAACATGCTTCATGAGAACAATAAGGGCGAATGTCTTTGGTAACTATCTTCCTAATGCCCCCTAGTTCATCCTGACCATTAGCGACAATGGCGTTCGCTGGAATATGAGTGCATCTTTCAGTATTCGGATGAAGGTGAAAGTTTATTGACCACTGCTTTAGGGCTTCGATATCCATTTGGAGGGTGTTGGAACTCCAAGATTTCAAGTCGTCAGCAAAAAGTGGATATGGACCTGAAAGCGCACCAGAAAGGCCATTGATGTCTCAGGGATACGATTAGTCTTACGACGGCCACTTGAGAAAATCCAATGGAGACCAATACCGAAGAAGATTGGTTTATTCGACTTTAATTTAGAGCGTTCTACTAGAAAGGAACACCTTAACACGGTGGAACAGCGGAGTGTGTAAAGCATTTCATGAATGAGAGCCTGTCATTCACAAGAACGGCGTGGGGGATTCGTATTCGACCAGAGATAGCAACTTGTCAGTAATGAGGTAGCCAGCCTCAAAATGGGCCCCATCGCCTTATATGGCGAGGCTAACAGATCTGTAGCTGCCAGGCAGTAAGCGGCTACAGAATTTGTAAAATTTTGTGACGCCTGCAGAAGGAACGTTGCCTTCCCCGAGCGACTTACGCAACAACGTGAACTCTCCGCCGGAGCTCCGCATCGATACCGCTTTCCAGCTCATACCTAGGCGCGGCTACAGCCAAAAAGCCTATCACGCACAGTATTGGCCAGAGAAGAAGGCCGCCCGCCAGTCTAGCACAGCGGACTCTGATTGGCAGAAATCCTGGACATCACGATCAGACATTCACGGATTCACGGATTGATACACGGGATCGAGGCTTTTGCCCAAGTTTCTCGGGTCGCTTTTGTTCTTGTCGGTCAGTGGCTGTCGTACACCGGAAAGGCAGAAGTGAAAAAAGGGTGTAGCAGTGCTCTTTATGTTCTCGGCGCGGGGCAGTATGTTTGCCAGCCCGGGGATTCGCATAAATAAATGTCCAATAGTGCTTTAAACTGGGTTCTGGAAGGAGCGCGGACAACCGTCGGAGGAAGGTCATTCCACGCACCTATTTTCTTGCTATGTCCCCGCCATGTGATTTCTGGGGCGATGGTGAAAAACGTGTTTGCCAAGCTTTGTTCAAACAGGGCATAAGTAAGAATCAGGTCCCCTCGGAGGTGGCGGTACTCCAGGGGAAAGAGATCGAGCATTGCGAGGGGCGTTTCGTAGTCCACGGATTTGACGCTGGCAACAATTCTCGTAGCGGCTCGCCGGACATGCTCAAAGAAGGTGGCGTCTTTCGTGCATCCTGAGTAGACGACTTGGTTGGCGTACTCCAGGAGCGGTCTGACGTAGGCACCATAGAGTATTTGGAAGTCCATGCGAGTAATACGGGAGAAGGTGCGTCGGATCATCCGTAGAAGGGCGAATGCCTTTTGGGCCGGTTTCCCATGCAAAACAGAGACATTCACTGAGCATCCTCTAAACGACATATGGACGCACTTTTTTCATTCAGAGGAAGATGGTAGTCAAACGACCACTCATTTGCAGCGTCTACATCCATTTGGAAAGCAGATGCACTGGAACTCCAGGATTTCAGGTCGTCCACAAAAAGTAGACATGGACTCGCAAGAAGGTCTGGGAGGTCGTTGACGTAGATCAGAAACAGCACTGGCCCCAGGACGGAGCCTTGAGGAACTCCGATGGAGACCGGCGCTGGGGAACAGTCGGTCGAGCCTATGCTCACACGGAATGATCTGTCTGATAGGGACGCCTTGATCCAGCGAAGGATTTTCCCTTGAATCCCATAAGACTCGAGTTTGTGGAGCAGCGGAATGTGTGGGGCCGTATCAAATGCTTTTGAGAATTCGAAAAATATGGCGTCCGATATGAGTCCTTCGTCCTTTGCTTGGGTTAAGCTGTCCATAAACAAGAGCATGTTTGTCATGCGAGAGCGGTTTGGGAGAAATCCGTGTTGGGCTGGGGATATCAGGTTGCTGGAAGTAAGGTGATCTAGGATAGCTCGCTTCAGAATGCTTTCCATCACCTTGCATGGTACGCTAGTGAGGCTTATAGGCCTATAGCTGCCGGGCGACAATCGGTCACCAGTTTTGTAGATTGGCGTGACGATCTCATCCTTGCAAGCAGAGGGAAGGCGGTCTTCGTCAAGCGACTGGCGAAACACCAGGTGTAGATGGTTTGCCAGTGTGGAGGACGTTTCCCTCGGGACCCTTGGATGGACCTCGTCGGGCCCCAACGCGCAGAATGGGTCGATCTCGTGCAAGAGTTGACGAGCGTCCTCCACCGTCAGGACCAAGTCTGTTAGAGGCTGTTCGTAGTTTCGCCTCGACAAGAGTGGATGTGACGAGGGCGCTGGAGCTGAGTATAGACACACATAGTGTTCTGTGAGCCACAGATACCACTGTTGGTCATTTGTCGGTTCTCCGTTTCAGTCCCTCAAGGAGAACGCGGGTGATCCAGAATCTCGGGGATTCCGGTTGCCAAGTTATCACGCATCATGTGGTGACATCCCCATTCTAAATGGCTTGAATCTGGATGATGGTAACTCTAAAAAATCTGGGTCTGTCTTAACTGATGTTTGTATCTGACCCTCGTGCACGTAGCAGAGGATCATATTGGGGTGTTATGTGATGGTCGTTTGTATTGATGCCTAGTTTTCCGATTGAATTGTTGCAGAGAATTTCCTATTTGCAGTAGTTAAGCGCTGTCTTCCATCATTAAATATCGCCGTTTATATTAGTAATTGACAAATCGACTGTAATTTTTGGGTCTATTGTCCCTAAAAGTGACTAGTCTCAGTAACACGTGGTTAGCGGTTATTCCTCGGTCTTCCGCTGGTTTCAATGTACGTCGTTTAATATTACCTTGAACATGCCTAGCAAGATAGGTACGGATTTGATACGTATCCGGTGCTTTGTATCTTTTGCTCCCATTGTAACATTACGCTTTTTGTCGGTTGCGCAAAACGTTTTTGTTTGAATGCGGAAAACTATAAAAGCGTGCGTTTAGACAGTCCTTGGTTTGTTTGCTGAGATGGGCGATTATTTTGCAAACGGTTCATCACCAGTCGAGGCGAAGTGAGGATCGTGTTGGTGCTCAGCGACTGGTCAGTGTTTGTACCATTTACACGCGATGCCAATGTGGTAATAATAATAATAATAATAATGTTGATTCCCAACTTGTGGGTGGCATACCGTCTGGCATGATCATAGTTTTACAGTCAGAATGGAGTATGACTG